TTGAATTTTAAAATTATTTTAGGTAATTCAAGAAAGTCGAATTATGAAAAAGAAAAGAAATATAAAATTGTTTAAAAATAACAAAATTATAAATAAATACATATATTTCGTTTTTATTATAGACATCAACTTTTTTTACAACTTAGCTTACCAGACAATTTTTACAAAGTAACTTTCCCCTACAGCACGAAATATTGCAGCAACTTGCAGCAACATTGCAGCAATATTGCAATATAGCTGCAATATTGCTGCAAGTTATTCTGTTGCTGCAAGTTGCTGCAATATTTCGTGCTGTAGGGGTTGTAAGTATAAAAATTTAAAAAGTAGACGTAATTAACTAAAAACTAAATTAATATGTCCTTAACTAGTAAACAAAAATTATTCAAATTTTCAGTCTTCGTCGTATGTATAAACGGACACATGCGGATATCTCTGCTTCCATTGATTAACCAATTGATCGCTTATATCACAGCTTATGAAACAAAATTCTTGCAGGTTAGGACATTGTTCAAAAATAACGGAATATTTATTAGGTGTATGAAATTTCACAAGACGAAAAAATAACTTTTTCAAGTTTTTGCACTGTGCTAGTAATTCCAACTGGTGATCAGTGAGGGCAGCAAATAAAATATAAACTTCTTGCAAGTTTTGATAAGAGGAAAGTAATTTAAATAAGCTATCATCAGTAACTGAATATTCGTATCTGTAACAAAAATTATATAATTATTACAGTACGCTTTAATTGCAAAGAAAAAATTCGTGTAACTTTTTCAAGATGCACACAAGAGAAGCAAACAAATTTTAATAAAGAATACAATAACATGTATTTTAAAAGAAAATATAACATACTTACGCCATTTTAAGCTCCATTTTTAGTAAATTCTTACAGTTAGCGAGGGCACTAATACCATGAGGTGTAATACCATGACGTGTATTCAATGATTGTATTGCTTCCAAGTCACGACACGAATTTCCCAATTCTAGTACAACTGCTTCTTCGTTTATAAGACTTGGGGAATGTAACTCACGCATCCGTTGATTTTTTTGCAGTATTTTGCAAAGCTGTTGAGCTTTTATACGCGTACCACAAAGGTTTAAACGTTCCAAACTTTTCAGCTTCTCGAGGTGCGAAAATCCTTCGTCGTCTATGAGTCGACAATAACTTAGATCCAATTCTAAGAAAAATTTGTATTAGGTATATACAATTTACCCATAATCTTGATAATTATATACTATATGCATATATAAATATATATACCTTTCAATTTTTTGCATATTTCTGAAGTTTTAAGTAGGGCATGACTGTTAACAGATTTGCAGGCATACAGTCTTAAGTGCGTTAAATTTCTGCCGCAATTATCAAGAAAGTATACGAAATTATTAACATTAAAGTTGCTTTCTGTAAGATCTAACTGTTTCAAATATTTACATCTAGCTGTAAAGCAACGAAATACTTTGCGCGTAATAAATTTTTCAGTCACACGTCGAATGTTTAAACGTGTATAGAGTAAAGGGTCCTGTGTTAAATAATTGAAGAATTTATCTACACAATTCATGCGGCATAACGTCGTCAGATCTAAATAGTTTAATATTTTTAGTAGCATTTCATTCTGCAAAGATAAAATATATAATTTTAATACTCGAGATGACAAGGGGTTACACCACTGTAGCTGCCCATTTTCTTTGGTATTTTATTTTTAGAAAAGAATAAAATATATGGTCAAAAGAACTTTTAGGCTTTATTAGACATATATTAAAGTATGTAAAAAAATTTTTTATTTGTTAAAAAAATACAAAATGGCGGCGCACGAGTCGCTATAGCACTACTCCGCGGCACGCAGTATAAGTCCAACAATTTTCATTTTATTCACTCCAAATTTTAACCATATCTTTAAAATAACATTCCAAAGAGAAATACGTACGAAATTTTCGATAAGTTAATTCTAACATTATTTATTAACAAATAATTGCCCCTTTTTTTTGTCAAAAATTGAACTGTTTACTTCAAATGCTCGCCAATCACAAAAAAATTAATATTTTCAAAATCCCCTACGTATTTCTCTAGCTATACTCGTGTAGATTAAGAAAACAATTTTTTTTTTTTTTAGATTCAAATTTGCGTCAGTTATACTGCGTGCCGCAGCATTCTCGCGACATGCCTCGCGAGAATGGCTGCAACGTCGCAATTTTGTACTATTATTGAATAAATATTTTTTTTAACACTTAAAAACATGATTAATTACATCCTTGAATATTATTATACTCTTACTTTTCCTTTCATCCAAAAAAAAATCGCAAAAAAAACGCTTTATTTTAGACTTCTGCAGTGGTGTAACCCCATAAAATAATATGATGAGAAATAGACCACTTATAATACTTTACCGGAAGCGCAGATAAACCGCAACGTGATAAGTCCTTGGATTCATCCGAAGAAAGTTTCATACGCTTTGCATAATTTGAATGACTATTTAATAAAATAGGGCCCGAACATCCAAGAGGTTGCTCATAACAAGGGATTACCTCCTGACACCTTTTTTGCTTCAAATTACTCTTAGAAGAAAACCTTCTTATATCGCTGCAATTATTAAAGGAACAAACTTATTTTCATTATTAATAACAGAAAAAAATTTAAATACTACTACTTAACGTTGACGATAAATAATACCTTTTACAAATACAATATTCGGGAAAATTCTGTTGCAGATGAACTATATCCAAGTGTCTACTTTTTAAATCTGCTGTTAAATTATGAACATCATCATGGTATGGAGAGTACATCCTGTTAATTCTTTTTAACAGATTAGTTAGACTCTCGTTAGGATTTCTAGAAAGGATCAATTCTGATGTACCGATGAGCATCACAGCATCTAACTTTGTGTAAAAGAGACGTGAACTGTTTTCAAATGTTAGTTTGAGCATTTTGGTCTTAAAGTTACGCCGATGCGATAACGGTGGAGAAAATAATCTTGATGTCGGCGGTACAAAATGAGACGATTTATCCCACAACTTAAACCACTTATTATTAGGATGTTGAGCCGAAATTTGAATTACGCTTCCAGGATGATGTATTTCGTAAATACAGACTCTGATTGGATATACAGCTTCATGAAACTCGATACCTTCAAAATAGAAAATATATAATTATACTCTCTTCTCAACAAAAGCATATCTTCTTTAACAATATCTTCTTAACAATATCTGATAATTCAAATATTACATACAAATATATCTATTTTTCTTCGTCTTATACCGCCGAATTTTACATAGCTGAATATAATCAGCCCCATCATCAAATTCTTCGTTTTGCCATGGAGATATTGAAACATCATTATTGTCTGAATTCTGTATTGAAAAGTCAAAAAGTGTTAATTACTACAAACTCTTGTAAGTTTGAATTGCGATTTTACTTTTTACTGGACAATAATGTATAATACCAGAAAATATACATACCCATCCGTTTTCAAAAAAAGAAGGTAAATGAAATAGTTCTCCATAGTTTTGAAATTTGGGTGGCCCAATTATGTCAGGGGCAGTATGGAATATGCTAATATTCTGATGGTTCTTGGGAACAAATCTCTTCTTCACAAATTGATAGATGAAGTCAACACTACTCTCCTCTCCTACGGACACTCTGCCGACATAGGGATATCGACTACAACTCTCGCTATATAAAGGTTGATAATGGGATGTCATATTTTCTCTCTGAAAAAAGACAAAAAATATAGAGAATAATAATCCTTGCTTTTGTGTAATATATGTTAAAATGCATTGTATATCATGTATTTATTATAATTATAGCGGTAAGATTATATATAATTAGATTAGATTATGTAATCTAAATTTATTCTGTTTCCATTCACATGTGGCTAGTACTGACATTATTATTACATAGCCTGCATGTATATTATTATTAAATATTAAATAATAATTATTTTAAAGAACATTACATTTTATTAATATATTATTAGAAAAATGTTTTTTTTTTTATAAATTTGAGATATCGCGAGCTCTGTGTTCACCACGCGTGGTACACGTGTACGAGCACAAAGAAAAAAACAAAAAAAAAATTACAAAATTTATATTGCTCAAATTCGCCACAATTAGGTACGCTTAACTGCTATAAATGTAATTAAGGTCCATTCCATAATAGCCGTATACATATAAGAGTAGATGTAAAACGTGAGCACTGCGTAAGCAGTAAGCTATTGACAATAACATTTTTACAATTCAAGAATAATCGACTGTAGTAGTTGGTCAATTTTTACTGCTTACGTCTTACCGCATACTCTTACAGCTATTGTAGAACGGGCTTAAGATTTTTTAAAATGTATTATTTATCTTACTTTAAAAAAATGTATCTTTTATTTCATTTTCCGATACACGTTGTAGTGTGTTTCACCACGTGGGAGAAGAACATACGCGGCATACACGCATGCACGAGCACCAAAGAAAAGATTTCAAAATTTAAATTGCTTACATTGGTATGTATGTACATGACGAGCATGCGCAGCTCAGCGAACAGCGCAGGGTGGCGCAGGCGCAGATGGTGAATAATCCCGCGTGGCAGTAGCTGTGACTTTTAACGTAAAGTCTAGCTATTTATTTAATCCTATATTTAAAAAGAAAAAGATAATCGTAATCAATAATAAATTAATCGTCGTATTTTTTTAAGTGAGTACAAATTTAATTGGAAACACGTTTAGCTAATATAGCTTTCTAATCTGTAACATTTTGGAGAAAACAATTTTTGAGGTTAGGGTACACATCGCACGTGTATACGATATTTTAATTAGAATGCAAATTCTTTTAAATATTTTATTAAAGAATTATACAATTCGTCGTTGCAGTCACCGGTTGCGTTTACTTAACATGCCTGTCCATTTCGAAGATATACCTGAGGAAATGAAGGAGGAGCCGATGGAGGGTGTCGCGAACGAGAGCGAAAGCAGTGAGAGCAGCGACGAGTCCATGGAGGGCGAGAACGCGGACGAAAGTCGAGAAGAAACCAAGTCGCAGGTGTACCTTCCGGGACAGGCATTGGAAGAGGGGGAGGAACTCACTGTGGATAAATCGGCATACAGATTATTGCACCATGCACAATCTGGAGCGCCGTGCCTCAGCTTCGATGTGATACCAGATGATTTGGGCAACTCCAGAGAGAGTTATCCTTTAAGCATGTACATAGTCGCCGGGACACAAGCTGCCAAGGCGCACGTCAATAATCTCCTCGTAATGAAAATGTCTAATTTACGCGGTAATAAGCAGAGCTCTGAAGATTCAGACAGCGAATCGAGCGATTCGGAAGACGACGACGACGAGCGCAAACCAGTTATGAGCGTCGCTCCTATAAAACACCAAGGATGTATTAATAGGGTGAGGTAAGTATTCTAAAAAGATCCGTCATTTATAATTGATGACTACAGAAATGTATATATCTACATACATTTTTATTTGTGACATTTATAGATGTACAAAACTTGGTGGAACAGTCTTAGCTGCCAGTTGGAGCGAACTGGGACGTGTAAATATCTGGAACTTGCAAGAACAGTTGACTGCAGTTGAGAATCCTAGCTTGCTGGCCGCATATCGTAATAAGTGTGATAAAGCGAGTGCAGGCATTAAACCGTTATATGCGTTTAAAGGCCATCTGTCTGAAGGATTCGGCCTTGATTGGAGTCGCGCCGAGCCGGGCACTCTAGCATCTGGCGATTGCAAAGGTAACATTCACATATGGCGTGTCGACAGCGGTGGCGCATCCTGGCACGTAGACCAAAGGCCGTATAATTCGCACGCCCTGCACAGTGTGGAGGATTTGCAGTGGTCGCCAAATGAAAAGAACGTTCTGGCATCGTGTTCCGTAGACAAAAGGTTCGTATTTCCTATAAGATATGTATATGCTCTTATATTATTGAATCGAATCAAGAATTGAATATTGCTGCCTCGCAAATTATTATAAAGATTAATTTTTATTTCAGTATAAAGATTTGGGATACGCGAGCGAGTCCACACAATGCGTGTATGTTGACGGCGTCTGGTGCTCACACGGCCGATATCAACGTTATCTCGTGGAATCCGAAGGAAAATCAGTTTTTGGTATCAGGCGGCGACGACGGATTCCTCCACGTATGGGATCTGCGACAGTTCGGATCCGATGGTGCAAGTCCGGTCGCTACTTTTAAGCAACACACCGCGCCAGTCACCACCGTGGAATGGCATCCCACAGAAGCTACAGTGTTTGCTTCTGGTGGGGCTGACGATCAGATCGCTCAGTGGGATCTGTCAGTAGAAGCAGACCATACGGAAGAACCTCAAGACAGTGTGTTAGCCAAGTTACCGCCACAGCTGCTATTCATACATCAGGGTCAGTCAGATATCAAAGAGTTGCATTGGCACTCGCAATGTCCAGGAACCATGATATCGACCGCGCATTCAGGATTCAACATATTCCGTACGATTAGTGTATAATAGAATATCGCACTCTGTAGGATAATATAAAAGAATATATTTAAGAGACGGTGAAAAATGATATATTATGAAAAATATATATCTACAAAATCGTTGTTTCGTAAATCGATTTTATTCTTATTTATGTAATCTTATAATTTTGATAAACGAAAATTCAATAACAAAACAGATGGACTTGTATGAAAAATTATTTGCTTATATTTACATTGCCCCATTCAGTGAAACCGATCATTGGCTTTCTCTAATTCTTTATTATAGTCTATTACAGTCACGCAGATCGTTCATGGTTACGTAATGAACAAATATGTCAAACGGTAAAACGCGCGGCAGTACTTTAATCCTGTGTATAAAATGTTATTTTTAATTATTAGTTAGCGTCTCTTATTATTTTATAAAATAAAGAGAGGGAGAAGGAGAGAGATTTGTATATCTCTCTTTCATAGGACAGAGAAGAATAATTTACGAGAAAATCTCCTTTATATAAATTACAGATTATGTGTGCGATATACATTGTGTAAAAATGTCAAATGTTCCAAGTTTTTCGTCTAACATTTTGTACAAAAATTTTTATAGAATTAATGTGTATCATACACACTGAATGAAAAATAAATCTTATTTTTTTAAATGAAATATGAACATTATGACACAATTCATTTTCAGGTTTTGTCGAATAGAGAGATAAGTTTGAATATAAGTGATAAGTTAACTTTTGTTGCTTTGCAGACACTAGACTTCTTTGTTGCGGATGATGTCTTCGCTCTTACAGAAAATAAATTCATCTAATGTATCAACAAAGTCACCAACATCGCTGTCATTGCTTCTCTCAAGATTTCAGTTTCGTAATTCGAAATTTTCAAAAAAGTATATCCGTGATCGTCACAGGACATTTCGGATACTCTTTATACAGAACAATTAGTAGAAATTATGTACCAACGTATGGAAAACTGTATATTCTTACGTATTGGAAAATTTACGGCCTTACGACTAAAACTTTTTACTTGCACTAGCCTTAAGAGATAGAAAAAATTTATAAAGAATCTGAAGGAAACGGCAGCTAGGAGAGCGATGTAAACGTGGAAAGAGATATCGATTCGTCATCTAATAATCAAACCAACTACACGCAAATTTCTATTGTCTTTATGAAATACGTTTGTCAAAACATCACAGATCATTTGTTCATTAGTAATAAGGATAATAGGTGCCTTATGGTGGGCCTCCCATGTGGACAGTTCCATGGATTCTGCATTTGTGCCATTTGTGTTACCAGCTTCTGCATCTCACTTGTGTTTAACGCTGTGCCGATCATGACCGCGCTGCGACATGCTCTGGACGCTAACATTTGCCTAACACGGCTCGGACGATATATGTGCTTATCTTTGTGTTCATTGCCTGCTTCTCTGATAAGAAATACCAATTCCTCAATATCCTCTTGACCAAACTGCCAATGACCACTGACAGGCATTCCTGTCAATTCTATTTTCTTGCCAGGCTCGGCTAAAAAATAGTTATACGGTATAGAAAATTATAGCAATTTAATATATTTCATCATTTTACTAGATAATATTTCTATAGCTTAATCAATAGCATCATAGAATTATTATGAAATAACAGTTATGAAAAATTCTGAAAATTGAACACGTATATATACCTTGTTCATTGATATTAAAGGTAAACCCATTATCTTCAAATGTTTGCTGATGTTCTATGAGTATTGTTTCGTTCAGCGCAGAGAAATTTAGCGACTTCGGTACAATAAGCTTTTGAGTTTTCAGCTTCGTTTCGTTACTGAGCTTCTCGAAGCGAAATTTTTCGTCGGTGGCATGTTGGTCGATGATAAATAGGTCATTCTCCAAGCGGGCTATTATGAAACCAAGATTAAACTGACCTATTATCTCCATCTATAAAAGATTTCTAAGTTCAAAACATAAATATACATAATGTCCCGGCATTAATATATCACATAGTAAATTATATTTAATAATCGTATATAATAAAATAATTAAATGTAGTAAAAAATATACAATATACTTTACCAACCTTGCCGAATGAATCTTTTGTCAATTCTCTCTGCAGTTCTTGTTCAGCCTCACGTTGATTAGCTTCCATTTGTACTCTATATTTTATTCTTTTAGCTGTACTGACGGCTGCTCCAGCAATACTCTTTTTTTCATTTAATTTTTCTTTTATCGTTACTGTACTTATCATCATTTCTACATCTACAGGCTTTTTCATTGATCTGATATTAGTCTGAATATTACTCTCTTTCACAGTATGCGATACCGAAGGTGATACTTGTAATCTTTTAGCCGGCGGATGCGTGTGATTAGGCGAGATTGTTCTTTTCAAGCCAAAATTTAATTCCGTTAAAGTTTTAACTGTAAAATTCCCTTGCAGTTTGTCCCATTTTGTTGTCAAACTGTATTTCAGTGTCGCTAATATGAGTCGTTCTTGCGTAACGAATATTGTCCTTTTGTCAGGAGTGACATTAACATCAGCGCACTGTCGATCTAATTTGATATTAAAGAAGACAAACGGATACTGCTTATTGTTGTACTTGTGATACACGCTGTTGATCAGTTTACTGATCTTCGTTAAATCACACGGCCGACCGTTTACATAAAAAAATTGTCGATCGGGCGAGGAACGTCCGACTGTGTGATCGCAAGTGCTCACGTAACACTCCCAATCGAAATCTACAGTAATGTCATTGGGCAAATTGTATTCTTGCAATACTGTTTCGTCCGGTGGTTGTAATTCGAGTTTAACGATCCCGTCCAGAGACTTCTTGCCGAACACGGAATTTACATTGTCCAGCACGTCGTCGGTGTTTCTCGTGGCCACGATTAGATTGGGCGATTTACCCGCTATCAAATTGGAACACGTAATCTTGATGTCGGTGGAGACCAAGCAGTAACTGTACAGGACCTGGATAACGCGAGCGTACTCCTTCTTCAGATTCTTCTGAAACTCCTTCGCTCTCACAGGCAGATTTTTAAATATGTTCCTCGCGTGTACCGTGGTACCCTGTTCTCTGGCGCACGGTTCTCTCTTCGTGAGCACGCCGTTCCGGTCGAATTCCAATTTAAAGCCATGCTCGTTGGATGCGTGCCTCGTGATGATACTCAGCTCGGACAGAGCACACAACGAACTCAATGCTTCGCCACGGAAGCCAAATGTATTTACTTCAGTTAAGTCTGTGAATTCCCGAAGCTTTGAGGTGTGGTGTTTCAAGCCTGATTAATAGAAGAAAAGTGACCGCATTAAAAATTATCCTTAATCCTCTTAATGGAAGACTGGCTCTAAATTAAATGTACCCTGGTGAAAAAATTTCTCAGAAATTTTCTAAGAATTAAGACTTATAAAAAATTCTAAAAATATACATAAAATTTTTCAGATACTTCACAATTCCTAAAAAAAATCTGAAAAATTTTGAGCATTCTCAGAAAGTCTTAATAGAAATTTCGATTAATAATATAAAAAATTATGAGATATTGTTCCACCAGAGTAGTTTCCATTCGTTGTAACACAATTTTTTAAACATTCTAAATTGCTAATAATTATTTTGATTTACAAGCCTACCTAAACCTTCGAAGTCCCGTTCCAAAACGCCGCTACCATTGTCACTGACGCTAATGCACGTTTTACCGTAATCAGTAAGCTTGACGTCGATCACTGTAGCACCGCTGTCCAAACTGTTCTCCACTAATTCTTTGACTGCGATCGCAAGATCGAGCACCACCTAATGAAACATTCGCACATGATCTCAGATCTTTTTATTTTTTTAATAAAAAGCCTAAAGAGACATTGCTTTATAAACAAATTATGCCTTTTATTAATTACACACTTAACCTTACCTGGCCGGAGCAGATGTGATGGACCGTTTCTTTGTTTATAGCTTCTATTTTTTTCGATTTCTCAGTCGTTGCAACAGGCTCATCCATCGCTCGATCAGGCACATGTGTTCAGCGTCAGGAATAATTAACACGAGTGTAAAGTGTAATTACATTAATTACGGATTTATTCGAAGCGCGCGTGTCTCACCCTCGTGCACCCGTCGGCAAACTGATCACAGTGATCACGGCTTTGCTCTCGTTCTAACGTAAATAAAAGAGAATTTACAATCAAGTTTTTAACGATGCAAAAATATAAATGTTATTATACTCAATTTAATGTTAATAAATATAATGATTCTTATACGGTATTAAATTAAATATTTTCATAAATATGTGATATATTCTATTTTATAAAATTTTATATTTTATAAAATTCTTTGAGTTTACAATAATCATAAAAGTAGAGATGCTTCCTTTAATGGTTAAATTTATAATTTCTAATCGTTTGATTTAATACCCTATTTTTTAGAACACAACTATATTCTAAGGAAAAGTAATATATATTTCAAATTCGGAGATTTATTAGATACATTAAAATTATTTCATACATAAAACAAATATAAAATCATAAATGTGACAACGTGTCAACGAAATAATTTGCTACTTTGACATGTATTTATTAATAATCTTTTTACATTCGTTAACGTACACTACAGCCCTATCAAATACCATATATTTTACAAGTCCGACCTAACTCCAAATCCGGGACCCGGTGGCGGAGACGTCAACGACGTAAGTCCACCGGCAGGGTCAGCCGCGAATCTCGGAGAATTCTGTGGGCCCGGCGACGGCCTCTCGCCCTTCTTGAAAGCATTTATTATAGCCGTTGCAGTTTCCGGGGTCAAATCCTCCTGCAAAAGAAAAAAGGAATGACAAGTACAGCGTCGTTTTCACTCGAGGCTGTTGTTCCTAAAAGGACAGGTATATACGTACATAATAATCGTCGTTCACTTGGAACATCGGCGCATTGGCGCAAGCGCCCAGACACTCCACTTCCGAGACGGTGAACAGCTTGTCCGCGGAGCTGCCGCCGAGCTCGCAATTCGCGGCCTTCGTCACGGCGTTGACTATCGAGTCGGAGTCCCTCAGCCAGCACGGAGTGCAGGTGCAAATCTGTATGTGATACTTGCCCATGGGCCTGCGATTGAACATCGTGTAGAACGTGGCTACCTCGTACACTCTCATGCGCGGCACGTCCAGTATCTCGGCGACTTTGTGCATGGCGGAGATGGGCAGCCAGCCGTGCTGCCGCTGCGCCAGATCCAACAGAGGTATCATGGCACCACGCTTGTGTCCTTCGGGATAAATCGCAAGCAGAGCTTCGATCCGCTTCTTATTCGCCTCGTTGAACTCGAACGGTATATTAGGATTGTCATGCTCGCTGTCTCTGTGCTGAAATTTAAATACCATGTATAATATCCTGTTATTATTTATTATTATTATTATTATTATTATTATTATTATTATTATTATTGCTATTTATTATTATTACGTACAACAAACAGCTGGTCCGACGTGCGATTTGCTGTTGTTTGCACTCCCCTAATGTTTCTTGAAGCCTGTTGAGGAAATAATTGATCTTAAATACGTGTCAAGTGATAGATCAAATAATAGGTCAAGTGCCAGATGGTGAATATGCAAACTTTACAGAGAGAAGAAAGCATACACGCCTATAAACTTTTATCTTACATCTTATTTATTCATTCTGACTCTCACAAGCTTAATTTAGAATCAATAGAAGTAAAGATAGATAAAATAATAGTCAAAAATAAGGTGTTCTTCCTAAATAACGCTTGCATTGTTTTGGATCGAATAAGATAGGGATATTTTCTCGTAAAAATGTCAAGTATTTCACATAAAATAAAATACACATGCTCCTTTCGTAAAAATATCAAGTAATTGACTTGCATTCGAGAAGTGTTTTACAAAGTCGATCAGTTTCAATTGAAAATACAAGATTATGTAAGGTGTTTGAGGTTATAGCGGTGAAGCAAACTGCAATGAGTGCGACATCGGTAAACTTTCAGCGAGTGATTTACTCACGAGGAGCCCGCAAGCTCGTCGTAGAGACGTCAGCATGTTGACACGGCTGAATGACCGGCAGCACGACGAGATTCTTGCTTGCTGCACTCTGTCAAACAAACGTCAACCCGCTCACCCTCCGCCACAATCACGGGGAACCGTGGCAACCGCGCAGCTGCCAGGCTATCCTAACCTAACCTAACCTTAAAGTGAATTTTATTTGAATTCTGCTCTTTGTGTAGTAGAGTGTAGAGTTCCTATTTGCTTCCTTTTCTCTCCAACATCTAATTACATGTCCATTTCATTTCAAGTGCAGAAAATGCATAAAGTGTAATAAGATGGTGCAACCGCAAGGAACAGTTGTTCCGTTCCTCGTCGATTGAACATTTCGCACGTCCTTTCGCTTTCTCTCTTCCTCTCTCCGACGTCAAATTATATACGTCTGTCTCGTTTTAAGTGCAGAAACTTCAATATGGTGCGGCCGCAAGGAACAAAATTGCAGGTCCGTCATCCGTCGGGTTATAGATCAGCGAGATCAAAACAAATTTGAATCGTACGTGTGATCGCGACCCAGCAAATCGCGGTACGGTGTCGAGGTGTTTTCATCTGAGAAGTGAGAAGTCCATCCTGCCCGTAAACGAGGGTAAACGGGAGTGCGATGAGCGCGAGTATGAAGGAGACGGTGCACAATTTGAGCAACGTCGTGAACAACGAGCACGGGAATGAGGAGGTAATTCTACATTTCTTTCCCCTTCATATGATCTTTCCAATTTTTCGCTACAACTGTTACTTTGCGAGATCTGTGCGTCCTTCTCACGACCACAAGTTTAAATTTTTATCGATTTTTATCGCGCGCACAGGTTATGTACGTCTTTGGAGCACGGTCTTACCGAATTGATATTATCATATATGTATTATTCTCATTCATATTTCGTTATTTAAACAATTACAATAAATTACATAGATTGCACTTGTATAGATGCAAGAATTTTTTTTAATATTCTGCATTAAAAACAACTCGTCCGGTAATTTTGTGGACTACAAGATAATTACAAGGAATCGCTGGAGAAAGCTTTAATAAAGCTTTTAAAGAACAAAGTTTTTCTAGAAATGTTCACTATACCTGAGAATACGTGAGAATTATAATCGTGCTTCTATTCTACAGCAGGCAGTCTCTGAGGAATCGCCAGCCAAACAGAAGCTGAGGAGCTGGCTGAATCGACATCTGCGTATCGAGATGACCGACGGAAGGGTCTTGAGAGGAGCGTTTCTCTGCACGGATCGTGACGCCAACGTTATTTTGGGCTCGTGCACCGAGTACCTGTCCATGGAGCACACGGAAGCGAGAGTTTTAGGCTTGGTGATGGTGCCCGGTCGGCACATTGTCTCGATACATTTAGACGTTTGAAGCGGCACCGTTCTCACAAGTCTGTAAATACTCTCTCCCTATTATGTTTATTTAAGTAATATATTTTACGTGTGTGCTGTGTGTTGAATATTATACGAATATATTGTATATATATATGTCTTTATATTTTGAAGACTTAGTTTTTTTTGTGATACGAACAGGTTTGCGTGAAAAATGAAAAGGTATAAATCCTGCTCCGTTAATAATTGATATATTCAACACTTATATCGAACATATTTATATTACACCTTACTGATCTTATTAAAGCAAACTTGAAAATAATATGAATACAGTGCAAAAATTGTGATAATTCTTGAATTATCACGATTAGACTGAACAGAATAGTGAGGCATGCTTTATTCTAATCATATTTTTATGATGAGGTTGTTATGAATTCTAGATAATAAGAGAAATACTTAAGACTAAAATAGTCCTAGTGTATCAAACACCTTTAATATAGCCAATATAGGTTGTCGCTTTGAATAAAAAATAAGAAAAAAATGAAATAATATTGAATAAGATTAATGTTAACTGTTAAGTGATGTAATAATATACTGGTAGATGCGGAGGAAAATCATTTATTAATATATGTAGATACCATAACAAAACAAATTATTTTTAATTTTTTTTTCATAGAAAAAATAAAACTTGCTCTGAGCATATTTCAATCTCGATCTCTATAATATTAGAACATTCCCTATAAAAGTTCATTGCTTCTCAGTTATTTCTTTACTACTTTTGATGGACTGTTCCTGTATAAGCCGGTATGCTCGTTCCAATTCTGCATTGCAGTTAATTTCTGTCTTTACCCTGTCTAACGCATCCTCTATCCTTTGTTGAAGCGTGCCAGTCAAACTATCCATCTCACACATGTAACATAGCTCCGCGCTAGCTACTGCCATTTTGTGCACGTAATCCATATACGTAGTTAAGCGCTAAAAGAGATTTGCGTTTTGACTTATATAATTATATTTTTATGGTGCAAGATATGTATACAATCTATATTTTGTGTCAAAAGAGAATTTTAATTTTGATTAATTATTTAGAATTTTAGACTGCAATATTTAATGTTTGAGTAATATTTGATATTACGTCAGGCAGGATTATCTCGTTTCTTAAGCAATTCCTTATTACCGTAATCTTCTCCTTCCTCTCTTGCATTTCGTTCCGTAACTGCACAATCAGATCCGCGTGCGCGTCACTTACATTGTGAATTATAGTTTCTTCGAGAAGGGAAATGAGCTCGTTCAACAATGTTCTGCAAAATTGTCACGATAAACGGAGACACACCTTTATCTTCGTAGATCTATGTTATTATTTTTAATTACCTGTATTCAACGCTCAGATCTACTATAGCCGTGTAAGCAACAGTTAATGTCTGAGTTACGCTGTTAGCAGTATCCAACGCAGATTGTTTTATCATATACTCATGAGTGAGCTTATTTACATCTGGTGGTGCCAGTTTTAACTTGTCGTTTTCACTAGGCTTGTCGGGTGAGTTGCAATGTGCAAACAACATACCTGATGTGTACTGCAATTGTAGGCTTTTTTTAGTTTTTATATTTAAAATTAAATATATAGGAATTAAAATATGAATTATATTCTCACCATTGCGGGTCTAATATCTTTCCATAATTTTCTAAGAACTTGACGCATGGCCATACTTGCTAACAATATAATTAATGTACAGTCAAACCACTTTTTTTTTTTTTAATTCATTGAGACCAGCAATTTCTGATAACCTCTCTATTCTTAATTTTTTTTTAGTCCTTCACCTACGTATCCTTTAACATGCATAAATGAAGACGCGTTATAATCCGTAAGACGTTCAGAAAGAGAAATTTTGAAGAGCGAGTAAAAGGAGCGAGTAACCGGTACTGTGTACATAACCTCGCTAGTAGAAATCAGCTGAGCGATTTCTAGTAGTTTTCTCGAAAGAGAACAAGAAATTTAATTTCCAGATGTTTACAGAGCCAATTATAAATAAAAAAAATAACGGAAGTTTGACTGCAATGGTTAATTTTTCCCCCACATGGAAAGATTAACTTTTTAATAATTTTATCATTAATATATATTTTTTTAAAGAAAAATAATGGTGACAATACATTTTGTTTCTTTATTCCAATGTTTTTCTCTCCCTTTCTCTCTTATATTTTTTTATTTATTCAAAATAATATGAATAACATTTAAATTTACAATTATTTTTATTGGAATGATAAAAATTTTTCGAATCCGAACGCCTATTTGGCAGTAGAATAATCATATCGTGTTCGTGATTTTCAAAGAACTCATCTAAATATTGAAGCCAGAAAAGCAATCTTATCTTACGATTCTCGAGGGGCCGACTTTTATCTATTTCACATTGTGCAAATGGTTATATATATATATATATATTTACAAAATAACCAATATTCCATATATATTCTATCTAACTTCTTTAAGAAATATATATTAGAATATCTGAATTGTCACATATTTTTTTTATATATATATGATATCACTATAAATAACAGAAAATGGAAAGATTTATGTAAATCTTCCTTTATAAAAAAGATGATACAAATCAATGCATATAGGAAAACGTGATAAATTCATTCGAAGACTACCGATATACATTTTGCGAGAACGTAGGGCTGTTTTACTACACGAAAAGATCCACTCCCCGAAAGATATGCAAGAATTATTTTACGAACCAAAATTATTTTATATATGTCCTTGTCATTCGTGTTTTTACAAGCAATAGTATGCTTTATACTGCAACCTCGTATGTAGCGTGATAATACATAATTAAAAGATATACGATATACTTGCAGCAGAAGCATTTTACATGTAAAGTCACAAATTCATGCTGTAAAGATTCGAGAGAGATAAGTCCCTCTCGCAGAACTGGCCTAACTTTACGCATGTCCATTATCAAGTAATCCGTTATCAATTGTCGGGATCTGCTGTTGGCTTGGCACTTGTGTAACATAATTATCGCGAACAATCTTCGATAAGAATTTATACTCTTGCAATAACTTTTCTGCTATGAATGAACGATGAAACCATATCCATTATATAAATACATATTATTAATCAAATGGAACAGCTCGTGTTCGCATTCGCAGAACAACTTATTCAACAGCAATGCACGAGAGAATTTCCGCTTTAACTTTAAATGCATCTGACGAAAGTAATCTATAGAAAAATTGTCTAAATCGACGGATATCGTCGATCAATAACAAAGAATCACACTTTTAAATAAATTATTTCTTATAGTTCTTGATGCGTTTCTTCCTGAACTTCCTCCTTAGGTAATTGTGTTTTCTCGCTTTCCGGTAGAAGTACTGGATCCTGTGTATCCGTCGTCTCCGGTTCCTGTCGTTGCTCCTCCGTATATTCTTCCGCAGCCTGGTCTTTTTCAGTATCGGAATCGGCTGCGGGTTCTTCATTTTCCTCTATCGTGCGCTCACCTTTATTATCCGTCGTTTGATTCGCTGCAGACTCCTGTTTCGGTTTCCATATCTTTACTTTGTTCAGAAGGTATTTAATTTCTCTATCAAGTAACTCCATTTTATTCGCGATCTGGCGGACTTTGTATTTTACTTGTATGTTTAGTAGTGCATCTTCGAAATATTTCGAAACTGTATCGTGATAATCCTGGAGAAAAATATCGCTCTTTATATTCATACTAATAAATATATAATAATAGTATATATACTGTCAGTCGAAGTCACTTTAGATATTATTAAAATTAAATCGTTTACCTGTGTCTCGTTGATCAATTTTTCTAACATCTCGACTTCAACCTTCGTTATAATTTCGGTCGTTTGACTCAAGTTACGCATATTCTCTAAGAACAATCTACTGCCTTTGAGTAGCGAAACCATTCCGTTCATGACTTCTGGTCGTTCTCGGTATTCGAACACTCTCTCGTAGACGTCGTTAGTTAACTTTTGCAGTTCCATCAATTTCTCCTCGTAAACTTCCGCGGTCGCGGTGAATCCGTCCTCGTACAACCATTCGGAGATTTCGGCGCATGCTTTTCGAATCTCCTCGATCTCCTTCTCGGTAGCCGCGTTCGAGAATTCCTCGGAGTCGAACTTCTGCTGCGCATCGATTACGTACGACTCGAGGTTGTTTAACGCAGTTTCGCGGCGCGTTTTCTCCGAATCGTGCACGTCCAAACGATGTATCCTAAAGAAAAGTAAGGATACAGTTTTATCAAAATAGTATAAATTATATTTATCATAATTATGCTAATTATATTTGCTTGCCAAGAGAAGAGGCAATAAAAAAAGAGTAACATTTACATTAACGTTAATTTAAAACAGAATATATATAAAAGATGGAAATTATTTTTTTATTATTATTTCACGTTGCGAATAAATATATCTGTGCTCACTTGTCTCGAGATTCCCCGAGTTTTTCACCGGACAAGATTAATGATCCTAGTTTAATCTCTTCCGAACTGATAGGTTCCTTGATCTGAACGATCGTGGCTTTCTTCTCTTTGTCCGCCTTTTCGGTTTTATTTGCAGCCTTATCCTCGTTCACTTTTGTCTCGCTCTTTTTCTTCTCCTTCTCGTCTGTTTCTTTCGTCGAATCCGAAAATTCTGGTTCTTCGTGCACTGGTTTTATATCCTCTTTCGGCGATTCCTCTGCTTTGTCCGCTGTTTCTTTTTCTAATGAAGAACCTGAAAGATTGAAACTTCAATCTAACGTGCTATTTGGATAATTTATGATCAGAGCCTAGAGTTTTATGTAGTTGACAACGGATCGCACAATTCAAGACTTCAAAATTTTACCTCATGTAACGTCTAATAAAATGGTTGTAAACAAAAATATATCGCCATTAATAGAACGGGAGCCGTTCTATTAACATTAATCTGTTAATATATACATCATCATTATAGAATGATTATTAATATATAAATTTTAAAAACTCATTACTGCAAGAGTTTAATTGTCAACAACATCAAAATCTGAGCCCTACTCGATGATAGTGCTGTTTTTTTCCTTTTCAAAACATCTACGTATTTCTTGATAAAAATGCTTGCAATGATTTCAAAACGTAACATGAAAGAATCTTTGCTTTTGTTTGTTACGAAAGTAACATATGTGCTTTTTCTTCAAAAATAAAACAGTTCTTCAATATATACAAACAAGATATAAAGAAGAACCAGTATAGTGCAAATATCATCGAAATTGAAAACTTGTACACACAACAAAAATTAACGGTATCATTTTTTGCACTGCCTTCGGCACAAACCTGCAAAGAATTTACTAATAGTTGAGCCAAGTATTGAGAAAGTACCCTCTTCTTCGTCAACGACAGTACTCGATTTTTCGGAAACTAATTCTACGGTCAATAAGTTCAGTACGCCGCTATCGTCTATATTAAAGTGCACTTTGATTCCTTTACTCTCGGCGCCTTCCTTGGCATGCTTTTCTAAAGCCTCGGCTACGCCACTCAACGACACAGTAGATATACGTAAATCACCAATAGCACTGTAAAAAAATTCAATCCCTGTAGTTTTAGAGATATGAAAATTCTAATATCTAAAATAATATTTGTTCCCAGTATTACAGATAAATAAAAACTACAGATACTTACGTTACCTCACTCGCAGGCAAATAATCCAACTCAGCATAATTTACATGAAAATCAAAATCATTCGTATGCTTATTAAATGTAATAATTTTCTTTTGTGGAAAAGGATTCATTTTTCCAAACAACATCTTCTTCACCTGTACAAAAATTGATGAAAAAAACATGTAGATAACCTTTTAATACGAAAGATTAAAATATATGAAAAAGTCAAATACCATATAATAATATTTTACCTGTCTAACTTTATTATCAACAGTTCTATCAAAAGTGATTTGAATCGGGAACAACAAAGCGTCTTTCGTGACAAACTTCTTGACCTTGAAACCCTGCCCAAGATCAGCCGCCTTGTACGCAGCCCCTAAAGCAGCTGCCTCATCCGTATTTACATTTTTTGATAATTCTGTTTTTACGTATTGGGACAATGCCTCTTGTACCTTCGGCATGCGGGTACCTGCTCCTACCAATACCACATGCGATATAACATCCATTGTCAAACCTGAAACAGTATCACAACATGTATGCGTTTAGTATTTATTTAAATATACATTTAAGAATCATAATCATGTATCCGTAAGAAGATAATCACCTGAAGTTTCCAATGCGATCTTCACAGGATTCGCTACACGTTCGAACAAATCGGCGCATATCTCTTCCAGCTTCTCTCTCGTGACTTGCAATTTGAAGTCGATATCGTCTATCAAACTTTCTATCTGGGCAAAATGGTCCGCGTTAGCACTAAGTACAGTTTTCACGCGTCCAGCTTCCTTGAAGAGCTTCGCCATCGCTCTTGGGCTCTTGAACACCGAATTCGGTGTCTTTTTAAGAGCGTCAAATTGCTGCGCCAAGTACTGCTGCAGTCTGATTTGCATTTCCAATCCGCCGAGCGTGCGATCGTATCCCACACCGAGCACGGAAACGTGAGGATTGTTCTCGAGGAAACCCCTCTCTTTCGTTTTCATGTTCTGATAGCTGACGACCGTCGCGGTGGTGCTGCTAGCACCCATGTCGTAAAACATGATGTAATGAGCGGAATCGTTTATCTCAGTTCTACCGAATACGCCGTAGTTTAAAGCGACCGCCATGTAATCGTTTATGAGCTGTAACACCTTCAACCCGGCGAGTTCGGCCGCTTGAATCAAGGCTCGCCTCTCGGCCTGATTGAAGAATCCCGGCACGGTGATAACAGCTTCGTTGATCTTCTGATGGGCGGCAGCTTCCGCCATCTCCTTGCCTTTGTGCAGTATCTGCGCGAGCAACTCTTCCGGAGTGAACGTCGTGTTCTCATTTAATCTAAACGCTACGGTTTTTCGCTCCTCGTCGGCAACAATGTCGTAATAAGGAAATCTCTTTCGGTAGAGTTGTACTAGTGGATTGTCTATAGGCTTTCCCAGAAGGTCTAGAATGTAGAAGAAGGTGTTCTGGGGGAATCTCACTCCGATCACTTGGGCGTCCTCGCCGAACGATCTCTCCCCATCCCTGAACGCAATCGTGACTGGCGTTTTCCTCTTCGACTCCTTATTTAAAGCTATTTCCATAGGAACACCTGGCTGCGGAGCAAAGAGCATTTCGTAAGAGACACGATCAATTTTTCAAAAGTACAAATCTGCGTTGGATACATTCGATAAAGCTCGCTAATGCAAAACCAGTAGTCCGACAAGCCCATCGGATCGGATACGCACTCGTTGCCGACAGATTGTTACGTACCGAGACGATAGCGACCTTCATCCATTCGCTACCAAGGTCGACGCTCATAACGGCAATTTCTTCGCTGATGTCGACGAAAGTGGCGATTATGAGCAAGGCTAGCGACGCCATCCACATGCCTCTCTGCCCTCTCTGCGAGAATCCCATCTGGAAACGGAGACAGACGTGAAGTATGCCGCGACCGCGGGGAAAATTCGCGCGCGAGCTCGAGAATATTAACGTGCACGCGCTCGCGCCGGATCGAAGGCACGAAGGGCTCTACGTACTGTCGTCTCAGCTGTCAAAACTTGGTTATGAATACCGGCGACGTGAGGCGCACGTCGATCGGAAGCGTTTTTAACGGAGCAGGTTGACGCGCGCTCACCTTTGCGCTCAGGTCTACCGACGGCACACGACGTACTCAAGGGGAACGGCTCTCAGCTGTACAGCATTCAGAACACACGCTCGCGCATCGCAGCCCCTTTTGAATCAACAAAAAGCCCGAGCGTGACCACCCTCCACCGCGACACTCTCCGCGAGAACTCTCCGGCGCACCATGTGTTGGTGTGGCACGTCGCAATTGGCGCGGCGCGGCGCCAACGACTGGACGCCATTGGTCCGCGTTGGCAAATCCGAGCCAATCGCGTCGCGCCGCGGCCCGCGCTGATGACACCAATTTCTATCCGAGGGCCATTCGAAGGCATTTGCAAGAATTGCAAGTGATCGCAAGGAAAATAAATAAGATGCCCGAGGCTTGTTCTTTTTAGCTTTAGTTATTTCCTCTTTTTCTTTTCACGTTGTAGAGAAAAAGTGAAAAGATGAACTGTGCAAGAAGTTTAGCAAAAAAAATTAAACGATCAACCCAAGGGCCTTTGGGCCTTAAGGCCCGGTAAACAAATTCGTGCGCACAAAGAAATCGACGATTTGAGAGTTTAAAATAAAAAATGCCACATTTTGTCACGATTCATAATGTAAATATGCGTGAGAAATCGGGGATAATTTTGATTAAATTTCGATTAACTTAATTATATAATTCAACTGGCAGGATTGCCTGGAGCAAAATTTTTAATCATACAATTTATTCATAATCTAGTGTTTTTTTCCATATTTCAACAATGAGAAAAAATTAATACTTCTATCTACATTAATAAAATACTACAGCTATTACTTGACAAGGTATAATACAAACGGAGTTTGGTCAAAGTCGTTATACATTATCTCACACGGCTTTGCAAACGATCTATCCGAATCTGTAAAAAAGAAACGTGTAACAAATGAAAAAAAATCGATTACCCGCATCGAAGAAAATCACTTCGACGTAATTGAGCTCGTCAATAAATAAATCTTTAAAAATGCTATGCTTCCTTGGAACATGGTTCATTTATTTAACTTTAATATCAGACACTTGTGATCATCTTTCTTGTAAAAGTATCAAATATAAGATACCAACGAAACTATGAGAAAGGTGTATTGTATGAATATGGAATTTGATGAAACGCACAGATCGAAAAAGTTACCGATACGTTTTAAAATTATTAGCGTACAGCGTAAGTAGCGTATAATTCTATCACACAAAAGTCGATAATCTAAATCTCCTTACTTTTACAGTAAATCTCATACATATATGTATATACATATATATATATGCATAATTTATAACTTGTAATTGCTATCTGTCTCCACGATTTCAGTGGACATAAATAAGAATTGTCACGTATGTACGGAAACATTTATAGGTAATAAGAATAATTTGCTGTGATCTGAATTGGAATTCGCGCTCGCGATACAGGGTACGTAGACGTCGCAAGCTTCCTCAGTCGAGTTTCGCTCGGTGCTTGACTTGACTATGCGGTAATAAAAATAATCTTCCACCAACAGCCGCACATTTTATTAACCCCACTGATCCTCAGATCGACCAAACTTATACGTGAGCGAACCCAGGAAAATAAACACATTCTGCAGGAACAATCCTACCCCTGGCCAATGATGCGGTGCGCCTACAGAAAGAGATATTAAATATGATAAATAAAGGTAAAAGAATATAAGGGATAATACATCTTTACAATTCTGTGAATATGTTACTGTGTTATAAATACCTGCTGCTACGAAGTTAGCAAACAAGATCCAACAGGCCGCTATTACGGCTGCAAATCCCATAACAAACCCGACAAACAGCCAACTCCGAGCACCTCTTGCCCCTAAACAGCCGCCGTTGTAAGCCTCTCCTCTTATCTGTGCATTTGTCACTGAATTGACCCTGTAAAAATATCGAATTGCTTTTCAAAATCAATACTATAGCACATTGAGAGATTTTACTGCGGTATATATTTCAATTATGATACACTCTAGCTAATATATGTGTATTACTGATAATACCATCAATGGTTACTTACATAAAGAGTGATATGGTGCCGAACACGCCGCAAACATGGTACGCATTCGCCATCTCATTCGGATATTTAGCATGAGCGTCTATTATAAACCACCATCCTACGAAGAACTGAAACAACACTCCAGTTAAGACTTTGTATGTTGACTGTGAGAGGAAAATGAATGCAAGAAATATGAATCGCGATCTTTATACAAAAAAATATATACAGAAAGTAAAAATTTCTTTAATTTGACCTAACTGGCTACCTTTATTAATTATGATCATCAGGATGTTTCGATTATGGGTTTTAGTCCTTTTCAATCGATGTAACTATTGATGCTAATTGGTAAAGACATCCGTCATAGATTGTGAAAAGGTCCAGGTTCCTAGCTAGATATTTTTCGCTATTCTTTTATAGTGACTTTAAAAAAAGGATGCTTATTAACATCAATAGAGTTACATCAATTGAGAAGAGCCACAATCCATGGTCAAAACGTTGTGACGATTATAATTAATCAAGATTGTTAGGTCAAATTAAAAAAAATCTTTATTGTTAAATATTTACTGGCGAAGTAAAAGTGTCTGTATATATATCTGTACCTTAGAGATAAAAAAGCATATTTCCATTATTATGAATTCTGACAGAACAAGGTTTAAAGTTTAAAAACAGGAAAATAGTGTATTTCTTTAGATATAAAATACAAGTAGTTATTGAGTTTTTAATAATGTAATTTAACTGACGTGTTCAATAGTACAACTGCCAATAACACTTTGCATCTGACCACGATTAAGGCACTATGAAAATTCTCAATACGACTTTTTCTAAACATTGTACTTTAGGAATCAGTAATAATAGACATAAAACTCTTCACCGTTATACAATTTAAGCTTCTGGTATATTGAAAAATGTATTAACTCCATTTTGAGAAAAACTGGAGATATAATTCTTCACCTCCAAGGTACAGATGTGTAATATACATATATATATAGTATTTTACGAGGCTCTGAGACTCGACAGGTCGACGAAGAACCAAAGGGAAGACGGAAGAGCGTGCTGGGAACCGTCGTGTTCATCGATGTAACGCGACGATTCGTCTCGTGAAAGGTAATAGACGATGTTTGTTTATCGCGGCGGGAGAGTGTCGCGGGTGGGAAATGCCGTGGAATTTTTATTACCAGCGTGCCCGCGAGCATCGAGATGAGCGCGTTCCTCTTCTCGCCGCCCTCGAACCAGACGCAGGACGGCACCTGCATATTCTCGAAACAGGACATCCTCGCGCGCGGTTCTCGAAAAACGACGCTGGGGGAGATGCCTGACCTCCGCGGGTGGACAGCTAACCTTACAAGCGGTGACAGGTATCAACATATACAACATACACAACCAAGTGTTCAGAGGCGTAGACGGTAGTCTGGTAAATGCCGAAGTCCGCGCCCCGCGCACACCGCACAGGCTGTGCGGCACAGCAGCGCACAGTAATCGGCTTATCAGCCGTTTTAGCAGCTCAGTTTAGCAGCCAATGAGAATGCAGATAAACTTCGACGACTTCGATTCCTGTAGACTGGGACTAATCAGCAATTAATTAAATTGCCCGGCCCAGAGAGAAATGGAAATATTTTACTGAAAATATTATGAAATGCATTTGAAATTTTCTTTCGATTGATCCTCTATTTTATTATTATTCAATAAAATCAATATTTTAATAAAAATTCAGTTTTTAGTTAAATTTAGTAAATTTTATTATCTAATATTTTATAAAATTTGTTATATAATCTTTCAACAGTAATGTAAAATTTGACTTCCGTTATATTTCACAGTATTACATTACATTTCATAAGGAAAATTATGATTTATTTTGAAATATATATCAGTAATTTTTCAAATCGATTTCATAGTATTTTCAGCAAAATATATTGTCATCAGGGCAAAAAAAATTTCTAACTATATATAATAGCAGTATATTTATTTTAATTTTAATTTTAATTTTTATTTTTATTTTATTTTTATTTATTAGATGGAGTTTGGTCCAAGTCGTCCTAAAGATATGTACTCATGTAAATTTGCATTTCCGCGCTCATTTGCAAATGGCAAATAAGGTGTAAACAGAGGAACGACCATGTGCCACGTGCGTGGAGTTTGACGTTTCGAGGTATATACATAAGAAAACATATATAAGCGTTCGTTTCCCTCGTTTATTGTCGGCGTTTATTTATTTTCATATTATTTTCAGGTTAAACGGGAGGCCCGTGTTGGCGTGCGATTTTGGTCGTCCTGCCACTGCACCGTCCTGACGTTTTGGGGATGGCAGTCGATCTGGGATTCGTGGAGAAATGCGAGTCCTGGCGACTCGGGAGCAGATTCTTTCCCAGCAAGGCGGGCGGCAAGCCGGCCTGGCTCGATCTGAAAAATATTCCCGGCAAAAGCGACCTGGAGTGCGAGTATTGCGGCGATCCCTGTGTGTTTCTCTGCCAGATCTACGCGCCGTACGAGGATGTCGCCGGGTTTCACAGAACCGTGTACATCTTCGTGTGCAAGAACGTAGATTGCTGCAGGCCGAATCAGAGTGGGAACTTGAGGGTCTTCCGTTCGCAGCTGAGTAGAATAAACGACTTTTATCCTGCCGAACCGCCTGTGGAACAGGAGGACTGGCGAACGGATATTGGTAAGCTACTTTTCTGCGATGACTTTGACAAAAGTATATATAGGTAAACAATTTGTTGTGCTTTTGCAGACGTATCGCGGTGGGCAAAGACGTGCTACGTATGTGGGATCTTCGCGCCCAATCACTGCGGCAAATGTAAGGTCGTCAATTACTGCTGTCGCGTGCATCAAGTGTACGACTGGAGGAATGGGCACAAAGACGTGTGCGGCACCGAGGCAAAAAACAGCAACAGTTTTCTGTTTCCCGAATACGAGATCGTGGTGGAGAGCGACGACGCTGCGAAGGAGAATGCCCAGCAGCACGAGCTTAAAAGTGAAGAGAGGGAGATTGAAAAGTACAATGCGATGATACAGGACGGCAAAGCTGGAACGTTTCAGCACGAAGACGTTAACGACGATTTACTGCAGATGGCTAACGACGAAAAGGACGAAACGTTCGTGGAGTTTCGTATGAAAATAGACGATTATCCGGATCAGATTTTGAGGTACGTCTCTGTACGGAAGAATTGAAGATGTGACCGCGGCTAATCTGCTATTTATTCGACAGATATGACAGAGGAGGGAAAGTTCTATATATTTCGTCGCACAGTCGGATAACGGATGTACCAAAATGCCCGGAATGCAACGGCGATAGACAATTTGAATTTCAAGTTCGTACAGTTTATTCATACATAAATGGTATCTGTATGAAAATTTGGATCATTAAAATTATGCTAAATTTTATTACAAAATCTGAAAGAAAGCTTTCTGGGCTTAAAATGAACCAAATATTTTTTCCTTGACAAAACGTCATATTTCCTATCTAAATTGAAAATGTGACTTGCAGATAATGCCACAGATGTTAAATTTTCTTAACTTAAAAGACGTTATCAAGTGTCTCGATTGGGGAATATTGGCCGTTTTTACATGCAAACAATCTTGCATACCTAAGGATAAGTATATAAGAGAATATATATGGAAGCAGGACATTGTACAAGAAGAAACCGAATTGAAACTAAATCAATAAACACGAATATACTTAATTTGACGCTAAGAAATTTTTCAACTTCCTCTTACACTTATTTCATTATAAAAACTAACATATTATTTTATCACTAAAAGTTATTTGTTTATCGAATAAACTATAACGTTAATGGAGCGGATAAACATTAATAAGTAGGTACATAAAGAAATGAATAATTCATTATAATTACGAATTATTATAATTAGGATATGACAAAGTAGGATAACAACGTAGTTTATTCTATTTATATAAAGATGTATTATAAAAATATAATTATCTGACACATTACATATCTACATTATAAAAATATAATATTCTGATGGGATAATTATTTTCTGAAAGTCACATTCTACTTTAAGAAAGAATCACATTATATATCACAATTAACAATGATGATGTGATAAATTTATAGAGTGCGACAGAAAACTAATTGGTATTCATAATCCGGTTCTTATGTTTAAAACCATCTTAAGTACACTCTTAAGATGTCATTATAACAATCAGGGTCATATTAAGATGATATTGAAATAACCGATTATGAATACCAGCCTATAACATTTCGTTGTAATACATTTAACGATATAGCTAGTTCATAATTCGTAAAATAAAATGTAACAGAGATCATGATATATTTCCCTCATTTTCGGAAAAATATAAAAAAAATTGCTTGTATTGATAAAAGCTTCTTAGCCTACAGCTTATGTTAACGCAATTCTGGTATTAGTTCTTACATTATTAAATGTAAGCGAAATAATAAAATACTCGTGTAAACGCACGTTAAAATGTAAGAAATAAAATTATGAGGTAAAAAGTACTAAAATAGATGAGTATAGACGCACACAATTTGTCATTAAGTAATTAAAAAATATCGCTTCCTTAAAAGTCATCTTATAATGTTATCTTACAATATTTACGATCCTTTAAAAATATGATATACTGCATTTATCATGATCTCAATGCATTATTTGTATATAAAAAATCAAAAAATTGCAATTTTGTCACGGCTGTATCATTAAGTTTCATTCGCTTTGTTACGATTATTAACATACAGTCGAAAATAATAAAAATGATTAATCTGTGTTATGATTACTCTTAATACTTCATTTTAAAACAATTTCATCTCACGAAATTTTTTCTTTAACGAAGTTGCAGTAACGTTACGTAAAACTGATAAGCTTTCATTACAATACTGTTTAAAACATTTAAGTGTTAAAACTGGTACAGCCTTCGTTAAATTATGAGAGAGATCGAACGGATCTTGCACACACATATGTGAATCAATACGAAAATATTCCGGTTTCTCATTCCGCAATTTTGTAACGTAAGGTGCCATAGAATTGGGTAATGTCGATACTTCCACAAAAGCTTTCTTCGGGCACGTCTTGCCTAGTAATGGACATATGACGGAGTGCATATAATTGAAACTTCCGTAATATTCGAAGAAATCTACCAATAAATCACGTATCGATAGTTTGGGTAAATTGATAAGAATAGTATCGCCGACTCCGGTCTCCCAACCTAAAGTATAAGAAGATATATATCAATATTATAATATATCAATCCTAAAATATATGTAAAATTACAATTTACTCTGTTACGGTAATATAAAATCTCTCCCAATTACCGATTTGTCAATTATAACATCCATTATAACGTGCTACAATACTCTATATAATCATTTTTATATAAATTTTTAATACTTACCAGAGACAATTTTCGACTGGTTGTGGCTTTCGATTAATGCAGCAATACTCGGTACTGCTGCAAATTTGACTTGCAAGTAAAAGATGACTAACCAGACAAGGGCATAATTTGTTATTCCGTCCGGACCGGACAAACCTCCCAGTGAGAGCCACTTTTTCAGAAACAGCGTCAATTTTTGGCACGGTGGATACGCCCTATTGAAGGACCTAGAGTTAACAGATTATTATGAAACACACTTCGTTAAACACTGCTTAGAAATACGACAACGATTCATACTTAATAAGCTTGGAATTCTCCACCGACAGGCCATTTATAAACGAGATATCGCACTGCAGTTTTGTTGGTCTATGTTTTACTTTTATTAGAGGAGTCCTGCTCCTGTCCAAAGTTAATTCTATATCCCAATTTTCATGGTCGGCACGTAAACAATCTTGAATTTGCTCACTCCTGCTCTTAATCAATTCAGGCTCGGTACGTTCGTCACCTAATACAAAAATTTTTCTTTTGTAAGTTTCATACCACAACTTTCTTCCACAAATAATTTTATGAACTTGTATTTTATATACCGAAATTGATCAAATGTTTTAAAAGTATTTTAAAACTTGTTTAGAAGTTCATTATTTAATTACAATTCTGATATAATATAAGAATTTGTTATGCCTGTGCACTCTTATCTGAATTTTTTTTTTAATATTTAATCAATTTATGCATGCATATAAATATTAGAGCCAAATATATTTACCAAAGTTAAGATATACGTCGATGTCGCTATTTGGTAATGCTAGCCCAGTGACTCTTGAACCAAACGTACATACTTCCACAGGCAATCGGTGAGTCTTGAAGATGTGCTCTAAGGCATCCGTGAGTTGATTCACTTTTCGATCGTTTTTTACACCGATTGACAAGTTGAATAGATCGGCAGCAGTTCTGTTGACGTTTTTCAATAAATTTTGCAAGGACTGCGGTAGCGATGTAACCGCGAGGTCATTAGTTTTCCGCAAATATTGATGAGTCTGTTGATGGCAGTGCGCTTGATAACTCATATGGATGTCTTCGGTGCAACTTTCATTCTTGAACCATAAAGTGGCGCACGTTAAGCAGAAATCAAACATCGAATTATCCTTGTTATTCAAGACTTTCCTGTGTGCGGTATCGAGATGTTCCAGAAATGTTATCTTCCGTTTGAATCTCTTGCCGCACTCGACGCAAGCGAAATATTGGATATCGTACCACAAATTTTGGAATTCTTCCAATACGCACACAGCCTTGTTAAGCAATTGCTCGCGAGCGTTCTTGTGTAAGGGTGAATGTGTATGGTTCTTAAAATCTACATTGTCAGATGCATTCTTACAACTTCTACGTTTGTTTAAAATCTTATTGCAAGCAAAACATTTGGCACTTGAATCACGTAAAGGTTGTACTAGCTCCTTTAACAATTCGAGATGTTCCTTGTTCTCATGTAGTTTTTCAAATTGTCTAACGTGTCCTACACAATTTATATGTTCGTATATCGCTTGCGCGCTGCATAACTGTGGACTTCCGTTACATATAAGGCAAAGCATTTTGTCGAGATGCGGAACGAAAAATTGTAGATGCGATTTCATCTCCTTCAGCTTTCTTTCATTGCAAGCGAACATAACTTCCTCGAACTCGAGAAATTGTGTGCTATACGCTTTATTATAACGGTCCGATTTTGTTATTTTATTGACGCTCTTTTTATTCATTAAATGTGCTCTACGCGGTACATTAATATATTTTATTGATGTATCAATTTCTTCGAATATATCAAGAGATATAAAAAGGCCGGAATTGTTTTTCTCATTTTGACACAATTCGTCATTTCTGTTACTGATATTCGCTGCAGCTATCGAACTATTATTGTGACATCGCTCTGCATTTACTTGTGTTTCGTTAATGTTATGTTTTACGAATAATCCATTATCAATCGATATATCTTCTTTAGAAACTTGAGACTCTATCTCATGTGTTCCATTTGTGCTAAGATCTTTTGATACCGATACATTATGTATATAATTGTATGTGAGAAAAATATTTTCAAAGTGCTTCAAATGTTTCGACGTTTTACATAAATGATCAAGTATATTGTGAGTTTCACAAGCATTATACGAGCAGGCAAGGCACACGTAAATGAGTTTGTTCTCGATCGTGTTTTCACAAAAAGTTGTATAATGATTTTTAATATATATCACAGGCTGCTCCTTAATTTCAACAGTTCCACCATTCTTCTCAAAAGAGATTATACTTAAAAATTCAAAAGGCTTAAGATAAATTTGTATATCTTTACAACCATCGTCCTCTTGTCTTTTAATGTCAGTTAACAATTTAATATTTTCTTTATGCTTGAGTGTTAAAAAATGATTCGACAGTGACAATATGCCATGTATTATCTCGTTGCAAAACGAGCATCTAAATAATGGATAATGCATAGTAGTATTAAAATCTCTAGTTGTAGACGACCAATCGTAAATGTACTTCATAGAAGACGTCATGTCACTTTTATGTACTGTTATTTCATGATTTATTATATCGTCCTCTTCGATTATTTCATTACAATGATCACAAGTATACTTTGCTGCAGTTTCTGTGTATTCTGGCCATGCCGTTCCATCAAATTTTTTACTATTTAACTGTATCGGCCGAATAGTTTTCTTTTTCTCCTCTAAGTTTATAATGCATGCCGCTTCCTGATTGAAGATTTTCAATTTAGATGAAACATCACTATGCAGCGTATCTATTTCATGATTATTTCCAATAGTTTTATAGATAAACGCATCACACAAACAGCAATAAGCCATAATATCGATACGTCTTTTAATTTGTAGAACACCATCATTAATGCTATCTTCATTATAAGACTTAACAGAAACTGTCCTTTCTTCTTCTGTTCTAAAGTTGCTTTGAAGATTTCTGATTGAATCGTTTCCATCGAACGCATTGACAGAAACATCTTGATTATCAGTCGTATTGTTATTTACATTTTGTTGTTCATTTACAAGATCTTCTGGTATAACAGTATTTATATCTTTTTCATTAGACTCGATCATGCATTTATGCCTTTTTCCATTTAAATGCTGCTGACAATGATCTAAAGAAGGTATGGGACATTGACAAAGTTTACAAAAGTACTCTTCTGGCATATCCTGCATTGCCCTTTCATGATTTAATAATTTTCGACGAATTATGCTCGACGATTCGATAGACTTCTCCCAAAAACCTGATATCTGAGGGTTGATGTCTGGTGAATGATGCATCAAATCTGTGAAGCTTTGAAACGTTGAATCTAAGAAATGCTTATGCGTTTTAACTTCCTGCATCAGTGCACAAGGCGCACTTTCAATAATTCTACTTGCCGTTTGTGTAGAATCGTTTGTGTCATCTTTTATTAATTTGTTCTCACAGATCGGCTGCGTCTTTGATTTGTTTATACGTTCCGTTGAATTTTCTACGTTAACGGAAGTGTTGCTTTGCTTATTATTTGTTTTATCGCGTGAGTTTTGTTGCTTATTTGTGGACCGTTTTAATATGATCTTCATATACTTTTGGTGATTTTCTTCTTTTGAATGTTGATAAAAATAATGTAAAGAGGATATTGAACATTGGCAACATATACAAAAGTAATCTCGCTGTGTATCCCTTACTATACTGTGTTGTAACAACATTCTGTATCCCTTATTCCTCAATGTAACAAATTTATTCAGAAAATCAGACGTTTGGGTGCTGATAGTGGAGTGAGCCTCTTCCGAATGACGTTGCGCCTCTGTCAAAGTTTGCAACGTGGTCTTGCATGGGTAACAATACCATCGTCCATTATAACGCGTTATACCTCGCTCAAAGAAACGTTGGTACATTTTGGCAAGCTTTATGGCAGCAACTGCTTTTTCTGTAACAAGAAATATTTGTAATGAGATAACATTCACATAGAATTAAGATTTATATAAATAGTAGACAGGATAGATAATACGACACTACAATCAACCACAATAGTTTCTTTCTTAAGCTAAACTAGAGTAAGCGTCCTGGGAACAAAGCACAGAAAGAAAGACCAAATATTGATATATATATACTTGTTAATATATCTACTTGTTTCTAGAAATCTCTATTACATATTTTTACAGAGTATTAGCAGTCACAGGACAAAGCACGAGCAATTTGGAAAGAGTCATTTAAAGTCGTTCGCGAGAAGCAAGACGTGAGAGCAGACGTAGCAAAGGATTGCTGCGACACAGTTGTGCGATGTATGATTGTTTACACTAAAAATTGGTTATAATAGCTCGAGACACTGAGTTTGCCTCTCATATTAAACATACTTGCACAAACCAAATTGGAATAAATATGTTAAAAATAAGTGTATTAATTTGTGCTACAGTGTTCTCTTGTTATGTAAGATCACTCTAGTCCAGTCTAAATTCACGATCAAATTTAACTCAACTTAACCTTATTCTGAATGATCTATTCAGCTATCACTTCGCGACTTTTAATTCGTATTGACTCATTGACTGCGCGTCAAGGGCTAGCAAATGAAAGTTTTACCTGAAATTAATCTTGGAGTGTTTTGGATAATGAACGATACAAATCGGAAAAATAAAACAGAAAGAAATGTTTTGGGCATCCCCCGTGTCCTCGTCCTGAGGCTGCGTTCGAAAACGTCACCCGGCCCACCCGGGTGCACCACGAGTGATGAATAGCATGTGTCACGTGCACTATGGGATTTTCTAAGGTTTTCATCCATTGGATGACGTTTTCGAACGCAGCCTTGGGGTGCGTTCCGTTTCTCGCATGATGCGCGCATGAACATATAGTAAATAAATAATTAATAATAATAATAATAATAATAATAATAATAATTAAAATAATAATAATAATAATAATATAAATGTATTATTTCTCTGCGATTGTTACAAGAAAATAATTCAACGCTTTAAAATTTTCTTTTTTTCCTTAGTCCACAAAAATGTTCTTTTTCATGCTCTGCATTTCTCGTATGCGCGACATTTTTATAATAATTTAAAATTTTACTTCTTTCACTTTACCAGCTTTACCTGATAAAGAAGCAAAAAGGCGATGAATAAAGGCACACTGAAAAGAGCGGAAGTAAAGGCACGTGGTTCTTCTTCTTAATTTATGACACCTGGTTTCCTGCGTGGATCCACTATAATTAGCCTTTATTTTTTAACTGAATGAAGCCAGAGCGTCTTGTGTAAATTGTGAATGAACGTATGTATGTATGTACGTGGTACATGCAGAATAAATCCAACACAATGATCTAACAATAATTTTAATTCTCAAACACTGAGATTATAAGAATAACTCTGAGTTCGAACTCCGCACTTGGCGACTGCATTCAAAAGAATGAACTCAATGAACCCATGGTGGAAGCACAGAAGTATAAAAGTGAAGCAATGCGCATGTGGTGTTATGGGGGCAAAGCGGAAGCAGAGAACCAATCAGAACTGCCCCCCACATATTGAATTCAAATGTAACCATACTGGATTTGTAGATTTTATGTTTGGGGCACTTCTGATTGGTTTAACTGCTCCCCTCTACTTTTGAACGACTGCGCATCCATCGGATTGCTTG